GGTCCTTTATATTATAATAAATACACTTTGAGATATATTTTTGAGTTTTTGATCAGAATACTATGAAAGCTTGAATATTATAATTGGCTACATTTGTTAGCACTTAACATAATAACTCATTTTTATTATTTCAGGGCCCTCCATCCTTAATTATGGAGACGTTTGTATGAGATCCACAAGTACTCTAACATTGCATATTATTAATATGCTACCAGTGCATGTTTCGGTCCGATTAGATATTGATTTTCAAGAACTTCAGAAGACCAAACAGCTTTCATATGTGATTCCACCTAAAGCCACTACTTACGTTTCAATGATGTTTCAATCACTCACACTTGGAAAATTTTGCAAGTAAGGTTTATTCTCTAATTTCTATTTGCTAGAATCAATTGTGTTTAGTAGCATATGTATTGATTGGTTCCTAAATAATTGGAGTTCATGTACTATTTTGCCCTTGCATGCAGTAAATATGTATACAGGTTTTATTTATACATTGGTATTTTGTTGCTAGTCTAAATTATCTTCCATAGTTTACTAAGAACTGGTTGTAGATGTTAATAAATATGACTTTTTGCATATGGAAATGCTATCATTGCAAAACAGCTTTAACCAGTTAATTTTGGATAATATTGCTGTGTTCCAGATCTTTCACCTTTAGAGTGAACAACAAGCCCTGTGGGCATATCCTAGTGAAGGCAGTTGTCCGACCAGTAAAACTTGAGCTATCTGTGAATGATATCGTATTGAAACCACATGGCTTCTGTATAAACTCAGGCTTTAGGGCGACCGTTCAGCTACTTAATAGCCAAAATTATTTTGCCCGATTTACATGGCGTTTGGTGGGCGAAGACAAAGAGGTGGCATTCACAGTCTGTCCTGCTGAAGGTAACAGTTTATTCTTCTAATTTAGACATTTGTGTATTCATTCAGGCACTAATTACTTACTGAGTTTGTACTGTATAAGTTTGTACTGTATACAGGTGATAAAATTAAAGTCAATCATATAAGGTCAGCAGGAAATACATTTTTGAGTATGTATGTGATTTGAAAATACGGATTCTGATGGGTAATGTGATTTTTATTTCATTATTGTCTTTGGGAACAATGGTAGTAAAGGACACATTTCATTCAATTGTGAATTTTTTAAGGATAATCCATAAATTCGTTACACACAGCATTTAGTACATTTATTAAAAATTAAGTTCTAAACCATTTAAACTAGAAAATGTGTTAATATGAAATATCTTAGATTTGCTGTCTTTGATGGTCCTTTTGTTGGTTGTCCACCTTCTTAACCTTGCTTCTGGTACTACCTGCCTTCTATACTTATCCTTCAACCTAATATATGCAGAAAGCTCAGCCCAGCAACTACTAAACTGACTTATCTAGTAACCTGTTGAATTCAGCAAACATCATTGTGTCGTGCTCTGAGGCCTTCATGATGACATTAATTATCTTTTTAAAAACTGTGAATGGCAAATTAGAGACTGAATGATTAACATGTCACCTTCATTTTATGTGACTTTAAAATCTTTTTAAGTAAATTGTATCTGCAGTGACTCACCTGGTATTTTATAATCAGGGTTAAGTCCAACAAGTATGAGTAGAAAGAAAGCGAACTCTGGAATACAATAGACCTGTTTTCAAAATCCATCTTAGTTTTTCAGTCGTTTTGTAATTGTGAGCAAAGTACTTTACAAACATTTTTTCTTTATCTTCTAATGTGGGGAGAATAATGTGTTTTATAAAAGTTCTTTGAACATTAGAATCCCTGGGTGGTACAAACAGTTAACATGCTTATCTGCTAACTGAAAGGATAATAGTTTGAGCCCACTCAAAGGTGCCTTAGAAGAAAGTTCAGTTGATTGAATTCTGAAAATTCAGCTTTAAAAACACCGTGGAGTGCAGTTCTACTCTGGCACACAGGAATGGGATTGCCATGGATCTGAATCGACTTGATGGCAATTGCTAATGGTGGTAGAGAATGTAAAAATTCAGTACATGGAAATCTCCTGTAATGCCTGACCACTCCAAACCACTCCCCCCAAAAATCTGTCTGTAATTTCCCACTACAAGAGCTCTAATTCTGTCTCCCTTCTCTGTGTATCAACTTGTCCCAAGGCAGGGTTTGTTCATGATAATCACATACCTCTAAATTTCAGTATCTGTTGCCCTTGAATCTCAGGTACTCCATTTCTTAAATAAAGAAATTCTAAGTCATCCTTTCCATAAAATATTGTTTTCTTGCACCAAAGGAAAGGATTAATTTATTAGACAAAAACCCAAATATATCCAATACCTACTAGACTCTCAATAAATGTATTAGTGACTCTGACCACTCAATAAATCTGGATTCTAAAACTGTGTTAATTATTTATAACTACATCACAAGTTACATCTCTAAGACTGCATATATTCCAAAAGGTTTCTGCTACAGGTGATATCTCTTTCAGAAAATCTCAATGAGTTTCTGGTATTAATAGGTATTTCAGAGTGTCAGCAAACACAGCAGAAGAATTTTGATTAAGGATGGCAAATGATATTTTACTGTAAATATGTTGTCAGTTCTAATCCAAGAGTGTTTGCCTCATTGATAAATTGTCTATTGCTTTTCAAATGTTTATATACTTTGTGCGCTTTATTTTAATTGCCTATTAAAATTAGAATATAAAGGATGCATTTTGGTTTTATGATCAAACCCTCTAAGAATATAGTCATTTGTAAATCTCTGGCTTAGCATTTTCCACTTTTTGGAGCTTGAATGATTGCTATAAGTTATTATGTAGTATCTGTTCATTTTTATACCAGCTCTTACTTTGGATGTTTATTGAAAAACTATTTGAAAAAAACAAAAGTGAACACGTGTGTGTGGTCAACAGTCTTAATCTCTCTTTGTCCTCTGTGTAGGAATTGTTGAAGCATTTTCAACATTGGAATGTGAAGTAAAATGGAAACCGAGTTTTAGTTCCCCAGACAAAGGAGAATTTATTATTCAAGTTCATGAAGGAAACACAATGTCACTAAAATGTGCTGCACATGTAATTATGCATTTTAATATACTTTGCTTATTGAAAGTTTGGTTAAACACACACAAACACACACACACACACACACACACACACGAAAGGGCTTCAAAATATTCATGAAAATGAAATGAAAAGAAAATAGAATTGTTCCAGAAATTTTTTTAAGCACCCCCCCATATATAATGTTCATTAAATATGCTTTTGTATTTAGCAGTTAATTAGCTTAGTTATTGTCACACCTTCATGGGACCTAACTCTTTCATTAAAAAAAAAGACTGTTAAAATGTGTTATTATATCTAGAATTAACTTAAAAATCCAAAACTTTTGCCAACAATGCTATGCTGTTGCTGGAACATCTCTATATATGAAATACTATCAAGAGAGCCACTTGAAATGAAATGATTTTATTAATAGAAGCCAAAGACAAATATAGACAAATGTGGTTTTCCCTAATGCATTAACACTGTTAATATTCCAGTGATAATTAGTAGATTAATATGAAAATACTCATGTAATTTTCATAGCAAGGAAATAGATAAAACTCTTGGCTTTATAGAATCTCTACCAGGGGACTTCAAAAAGTTCATGGGAAAGCACTTATTTCTTTTCGTGAAGATGTGAATAAAGTAAAAGTTGCAATATATAATGCTAACCTTTTCTGTGGTCACAGCCGGTTAGGCCTTGACTTCCTGCTTTTTGAACACCAAGAATGCTCTTTATTCCTGTACCAAATTGCCTTACCAATACTCCTAGAGATTTAATAGTAGGCAAGTGTCTTAGTGAATTCCACTTTTATCTCCCAAGCCATGTCCCTGATCTTATATATGTGTAGCAATGAAGATCATGGCAGCCTAAGAGATAAGAAGCAGCGGTTGGAACCCAGTAGGGACTTTTCTTTGCTCCAGGCTTGAAATAAGCAGGATCTTTCTACTTTTCGCTAAGTCCCGATAACTCTGGATTATAATGTTTAAAAGCTTTCAAAATAATCTTTCTATTAGATTATAATACACACACAGAGAGAAAGGTGCATGTTATAAATTATGTATCACTGAGTTTTAGCAAACTGATATTTTCTTTGTAACAAGGACTCAGATCAGCCAGCTCAGGAAACAATATGACCGGCACTCCAAAAGATATCCCTCTCAAAGGTGACATGTAGTCTTTCCCAAGATCATGGCTACCTCACTGCTAACAGCATAGATTAGTTTTGTCTGATTTTGAACTTTATGTAAATGAATCAAGCTATGTGCTCTCTTGTGTGTCTGACATCTCATGTTCCCCACTAAATTTGCAAGAATCATCTATTCTTTTATTTTTTTTCTGGGGCTCATACAACTCATCACAATCCATACATACATCAGTTGTGTAAAGCACATTTGTATATTCATTGCCCTCATCATTCTCAAAACATTTGCTCTGCACCTAAGCCCCTGGCATTAGCTCCTCATTAAGAACCATCTATTCTGATGCATGTGGTTGTACTCATTTCTGAGTAGTATTCCATTTTATAACTCTTCTATCATGTATCCATTACTCAGCCAATGGACATGTGGGTTGCTACAAAATATTAGCTATTAACACGCCGCTTCTGTAACTACTATTACAACTGACAGCATAATATCTATGCGTATATGAAGAGGCTTCAAGAAGAGGCTTCAAAATGGAAGCATTCCATTTTCTTTTAATTTCATTCTTCCATGAACTTTTAAAAGGTCATTTTAAAACTGGGATTTGTATTCATTTTGCATCTTGGGATATACCAAATCAAGACTGCAGCCATATTATAAATGTAATTGTGATAATCATATATTTGGTTAATATACAGTTACAATTAAAATCCTTTATCTTTGGATGGAACAAAAATATTTTACTTACCATTTTCCAACTTTGTTTTTCTTTGTTTTTCCCTTTTAACTTCACATTATTAGGTAGGGCACAGTAGGGTTGTGCCTTTGGAGCCAAGAATACTCTTCAGTAATAGTCCCCAGGGTTTAACAAGCTGGAGGAGAACAGTTCTTTATAATGAGGGACAAAACCATGCTTATTTCAAGGTAAAATAGAATAATGGCCATTTCTTATTTTGTTTATATTATACAGATCACGTCACCTGTTGGCTTTTTTGGCCACAAATACTAGGAAGTTAATACTGTAGTCTCTTAGAAATGATCTTATGCTTATTTTTAGATATTTTAGATGAGATTTATCTAGGTTCAGGAAATTCAGTTTGTCCTTGTCATTAGTTTGAACATGATGTCACATCCCTCCCTTCTTTTCTCAGTCTCACCCCTCCTCTCTTCTTTCTTGCTTCCTTTCCCTCTCCTGTCTTGCCTTGTCGTCTCTCCTGCTTTGCCCTTTTTACTGTTCAATTTGTTTCCTTGAAAAAATTAAATGACAAACAAAATCTTAAACAAATATGCATGTTATTAATGATATATGCTATATTTAAATAATTCTCCCATTTTCCTCATTTTCACTCTGAAATCAGGGTGACTGTAGTAAAAAATCCAGGATCTAGTTGAAGGCCATTTTGAATATAGTTATTTTAAATGGAAGTGGAGTAAGCATAGGATCTGATTTTTATTTGTTTGTTTGTTTGTTTGTTTTTGGTTTCTCTGAAGTTAACTTTTAAGATATTTCATTCTTGATTCTGCTATCTTCTGACTAAATAAACCTGTTGGTCTAAATAAGCAAATAGGGAGTTCCTTTTCTACACTGTTGCTTCAGTTCTTACTACTATTGTCGATTTTTTTCTTTAACCCCAAAATATGTCGACCAATTTCTATTTACATTATATTGGCTCAAATATGGCAGACAGGTCCAAATTGTCTGTTGACAAACTACATCATAAAGAGTTGGTAAATTACTTACACATTTTTGAAGGTGAAAATGATACTCTAGACATTATGATTTCTACCAAGAATAAATACAGTTAATAAAGGAGGGCAGTTCATTACCTGGCCCCTCTCATGATGTTGCTTTCAATTTTAAGAATCAAGGAAAAAATAAACTGGCAAGTAGCATTTACAATTCTGGCAACTCCTATAACAAATGCTCCTGTTCCTTGTAAGTTTTGCAGTCTTTTTAAAATAACACTCCAAATGATAGATGGTGTCCTATTTGAATTAGAAGGTGCCACTACTGAAGGTTTTGTTTGATGCCCTAGGATAGAAATTGCTTGTTGAAGTACAAACTGTTTGTTCTTCTGATGCTTTGTAATCTATTACAAAATGATCTGGTGACCTGTGCTTTGGGGTTCTCTCTCTAGATTGTAGTTTGGGAGCTTTTCTCTGAATGTTAAACTAAAAGAGTAACTTCAATGAATAATGCAACATTTCTGTATATTTTCACTCATAGGTTTGTGAGAAGAGTCTTTTGCCTATCATTAGTATTGTTCCATCAGAAGGAATAATTCCATTCGGGGGATTAGCTACACTCAATATATCCTGCACACCAAAGAAAGCTGAAAAATTTGATTCAAAAGCAAAGGTATTTATATTTGTACCTGATGTATTTTTATGAGGTTTATTTGGTTGCTTAAAAGTATTCATTACAGTAAATACAATACTATTAAACACTGAGCCTATTTGCCTAGAATTTTTTTCAAAAGTCTTTTTTCTACAGGGAATGATTTCAATGTTATATTTAAATATATCCCATGATTTTCTATAGCAAGTAATGATAGAAATCTAATCTAACACTTGGTCCCTAAATAAGCAGATTAGAATTGCATCTTACTTTCATATTGAAATTATGTTATGACATTAAAATGGTCTGAAATATCATGGCTTACAGTCTGAGTGTAAGCCAACATTTTTTTCAAAAGCATAATATTTTGGGAATTTTCTAAAAATTTTGTCAGTAAACATAAGAATTTACCAACAAAGTAATTTCAACTGTATTTTAAAGGACTATACATTTTTAAAGCTTATCTTTCTTAACAGTATAATTTAATGAATTTCATTTATTAGTTCATTCAACACATATTTCTTAGATGCATAAGATCATAAGAGACCATACAGTTTGGTGGGAAGTAAAATTGCCCAATAGAAGATTACCGTAGTGCCTGAGATGTACTATGATGGAGACGTACTAGAGTTATGGGAATACACAGGAAAGGTGACAACCACCTCAAAGTATCAGGGACAACTTCCTAGGAGAGACTCCAAATGCGAGGAATGGTGGGGGTGGAATGGGGAGAGAGGGAGGAGAAGTGAGGGGGAAAGAGTGTTTTCGGGAAATACACATGTGATATGGCATAGAGATGCAGCTTCAGCACAGGTAGGAGAGACTGGAAGTTTAGCATAACCAGTTTGTAGACTATTTAGCCGCGGGAAAAACATACTTAGAGATCTGTGCAAGTTGGGGTTATGCAAGTCCTTATCAACAACTTTGAACATGCTGTGCTTCATAATAAGAGCTAGAGGCTTTAAGCTTGGGGGTTTCAAAATCATAGAAATAATAAACTTTGAAAATTCCTTTGAATAAGGACAAAGAATAGATAGATGAATTGGGACCAAATGTAAGAACATCACACAACTCAAGCTTAGATGGTCCCCTATGATCTCCAGGATTTTAAAATTACTGTGAAACACAAAGGGAGGCTGTGGGAAAGAGAAAGATAGATGAATGCATTATTTCAGAGGTTGTGCAGTTGTTTGGAATGATAGTGTCAGGTTTAGTTTAAATCTGTAGTAATGGTCAGTGATCAAGGGAATCACTGGACTAGTGATGACAGAATGAAATCTGTCAGCCAGGAATCTTCAGGAAATTAAAAACCTGATGAGCTGGTGAGTAGGCCAGGGGAGTCAAGACTTGTATATGGAATTCATCACATGAAGAGCATAACAATTGGTAATTTCCTTAGAATCACTGAATTATATTTCTTATGATTCTTAGTGAAATGTTTTATTATGTGCTATAGATTCTTTAAATAAAGTATGGAAATGATCTTATATTATGAATATGACAGCTGGGTTAATAGACTAGATAGCTAGCATGCTAACGTCCCCATTCTGAATTAAATGATTACTTTGTAGTATCTCAGCCTTTCAGGGATTCTGTGGGAAACACACTCATATTGGGCTATTAACTATAACATACACTGAAACTTAAATGCACATCTTGAATTCTTCATGTTGTTGTAGAGATAGGATCTTTCATAGGATGCTGTTTTGAGGTTTCTGAGGTTTTGCCTCATGGTTATATGTTTGAATAATCTACAGTTATTTATTTTCTAAGAATTATACAACTCAATTCTTATTTCACTGACTTGTTTGTTTAACACAGTTGTGTGAGTGATAAGAACATGGTTCAAGTTTAGCTGCTAATGCTCTCAATTAGCTTGACTTCAAGAAAAAAGACAAATTACTTGTACTTGTTAAGTTTCAATTTACCTCATTTGTAAATTAGGGGTATAAACAATAGTGACTTCATTGGATACTGAGGAATAATACTGAGTTAATGTATTCAGCTCATTTAATCAGCAGTTGTGTAGATGCTGCTATTATTATTACTGTTGCTGTTGATAAGAGGATGACATTAATATTTTTCTATGAGAAGGAGGAGTTTGCACTGTTTCCTACTTGTTTTGATTTTGAATAATCCACTGGAAGGAGAGCATAACAAAGATGCTACAGAGAGTGGCAAGGAGGTCTATTCAAATGGGTACAGTTCTGAGGTAAAGTTCTTTAGCCTTCAGTTGATCCTATTTGGCTTGGACGCTTCTTAGGAATATCATCTCTGCCTTAAAAGAAATGTGAAGATAATGGCCAGAATAAATCCTGTGGTATTTATAGATGTTATGATTATTTAAATTATAGAATGTTATAGAAATTTTGGGTAGTATTTCAGCAGGTTATGATTATATTTTGATGCGGTTTCTACAAAGTTTTCTATTTCTCCTAAATAAGATTGCTATTCGCCATTCAAATGTCATTGAACTGAGGATTGGCGGATCTACTGAGATTGCTGACGTTGAAATTGTCCCAGTAAGTATATTGCATGTTTGTATAATCATCTAGTAAGTGTGGTGGTTTTTATTTGTCACATATTCATAATGAGCATATTTGCATGTAAAAATCATACTCTGCAGTAATTTAACATATGCAAATTAATGTGTAATATGTATGTAAATATTGAAGCATGATATTAAATGAAAAATCTGTAGGCGTTGTCATGACCCTTTACTTCAAAAAAGAGAATCACTTTTTTGATTTTTGTGATTAGTAGTCTTTTACTTTTTCTGATAGTGTCACTTCACATGTATGAATCTTTTACCTACTCATTAGATTCCTTTGTTGTTTAGCTTCACAACAGGTGTAATTTTTGGTGAGTTAATTTTATGTCACTTTGTTTGGTTCATTTTTCACTACTGCACTGTGTGCATAGACTATACATACTCATTCTCTTGTCCTTCTGGTTGATTCATTTGGGTGTTTCTGCTTTTTCGTTATTACAAGTATTACAGCTGTGAACATTGTGAGACATATTTCCTGAGGTCATGTGCTAGATGTTCTCTGGGAGTGGAGCTGCTGAGACCTGCCTAACAGGATTTGGAGTTCAGGCTCATAAAAAGAGCATACACTATACACCTACTCTTCACTTATTGACCATCTCGTTAGCCAAAAAGTCACATTAACCACAGTAGTAACAACTCTACTATCAGACTATTTTTCAAATTATTGCAGGAGTGGATACGGCAGCAATCTTCCCCAGGAGGTTCTTGGGCAGACTTTAGGAAACTGGGCCCTGCTTCCCCTCTCCCTTCACTCACTTCTGCTGGAGGCAGGGCTGTGTCTAGATGCCTTCCTAGTGAATGCAGTGGCAGGGTATAGCCAGCAGTCGCTCACAATTGCTGTGGAGTGGGGAAAGAGGAAAGAAAGAGCTGAGGTTTGGAAGAGATGTATGCAACTTTAATATCATTCCCAAAACTTCAAACCGAACTCATTGGTACAGTGGTAGGTTACACATTGGGCTGGTAACCCCAAGATTGGAAAGTGCAAACCTACCAGCTGCTCTGAAAGAGACTTCCCATAGAGATTTACATCCTTGAAAACCCAAAGAGGCAATTCTACTCTGTCCTGTAGGGTAGCCAATGTGAGTAACATTCCCCCAGTGAGCTAAATTAGACCTGAAGCCTCAGCCTGAGTGAGGCCACACGTATGATCAGGTTAGCAAAGTCTTTAGAATGGGGGATTTATCCAATAGATGGTAGAGAACCATCGAAGTTTAAGAAGAAACAAATGTGGCCTGGACCCTTAATTAGTTTAATTGTGACTTAGTTGTTAGAGAAGAAATTGGAGGACATAAAAATCTACATACTAAATGCAAGCGCCAAGAATAAGAGGTGAAGAAGGAAGCGGAATTAACATAATTGAGTAACTGCATATAAAGGGCTGGGAGAGGAAGAAGAAACTTGACTAATGTATAGAAATCATGGCAGTAAATAAGATCCTTCATAAATGTATAATTTTCAGCATGCATTTTTGATACACTGTTGCTCTACTTTCTAATTATTATTTCTTGTTAACATTTAGAATACATTTAACTTCTATGGCGCCTATTTGTACGGTATTCAGAGTATTCCATTTGAAATAAGAAATAAAGGCATAACCCGTGCCAGGGTGCAGATTGATCTGAAAGATTTTGAAGATTTCACCATGGATTTAAAAAATAAATCAGGTATGTATTTTATTTCATAATATTATTATTGTAAAAGCATAGCAGTTTTAAGTTGTTCTAAGATATAATGGGGAAAATACTATATATCAAGGATAATCATTCCTACATATGTTTTTTAATTGTTTTTGTTGTTTTATTTTTTATTATAGTAAATAGATGTGTAACGAGACATTTTCCCTTTCATCATTTTTCACATCCACACACCAGTGACATCAACTTATGTTCATTATATGGTTCAATCAGCAGCCCTGTCTGTTAGCAGACTGTTTTCATTTCCTTTAACAGAAGCGCAGTGTCTTCTAAGCATAGATTTCTCCTTTTTGCCTCATTCCTACCCACTTCTGGCAAACATTAATGAACATGAGTCTTTATGCACTTGCCTATTCTAGCTATTTCATAAAGTGGTATCACACAAAGTGCTCCCTTTGTGACTGAATTATTTCACTCAGCACAATGCTTCCCAGATGTATCTATGTTATGGCCTGAATAGACATAATTTTCTTTGTATTTTAGTAACATTCCATTTTAAGTATATCATATTTTGGTTTATCCATTTATGTGTTGATAGCCATTCAGGCTACTTTTACCTTTTGAATATTCAAAAGCTAGAAATAGTCTGAATAGGGCTGCAGTGAAGATTGGTGCACAATGACTTATCAGTCAGGGTTTCGGTGGTAAAGACATGACTCACTTAGAGGGTTGAAATAGCGAGATTTTAATGAAGTAATTATCTACCGAGGTGAAAACCTGCTGTAAAAAAAGGAAGCTGTTGCTACCTCTAGGAGGTAAGTTATTGGATGTGAAGTTATGAAAAGTTGAGGCTAAATGCTAGGTGTAAAGGAATGCAGTCACTGCTAGAAGTGCCTCCTAGGTGGTGAAGGATTGAGAGTAGTACATATTATCTCACTGTGTGCGCTCTCGTATCTTGCCCATGCTTTCCAGTAGTTGAACCCAACTAGAGGCTAAAGGGTAAGAGGGCCTAACTGAATTGTTCTGAGGAAGTCAAGACCAATCGGAGTAGAGAAGAATGTCTAGCAAATTGAGACCACTCCTCACAGTAGGAGAAATGGGCAAAGAATCAGATTATTGCCACATTGCCTCTACAAATCAATGCACGGTGCCAAGGGAGCACATAATAGGGAAAGCTCCACCAGACTTGGCAATAAAGATGTTTTGGAGAAGGCAATACCTAATCCAAATCTTGAGGGATGATGAAGAAATTCATAAGCAAACGGGGTATGGGAAAGAAAGAGACTAAATGTATAGGAAAGTAGTTCAGGATATCCAGAGCATAAAGGAAGAATATTGGAATGGCAGTTGGGATTCAAGTTGTTCATCCAGGGATTTGGTGCCTCTAGATTAGGAGAGTAATTACCAGACTTAAATCCATAGCATATCATGAGTAGGCTTGTACTCTATAAACTTTGTTTTTGGAGCAGTTTGGAGAATGGGCAGGGTCCAAAGGGAAAGGTGGGAATAAGAAATGAAAGACCAGAAACAGACCAGCCAGAAGTTATGGCCATACAGTTGTGAATTGAAGATATACTGGACGCAGGCAACGATACTAAGGATCAGAAGAAAGAATGTAAGGGACCAAAACAAATCAACAAGCAAACATATGCTGTAATTTAGTGACCAAAAAGATGTAGGTATTAGGAAAGAGAAGGAAGTATCTGGATGTGCCATTCATATTTCATGGAATATGGAAAGATCGCTTTTTGTGAGCCTTGTTGTGTTTGAGAAGAGAATACAGCCCAGGAAATAGGACAGTAGGCTGTTGTAAATACATACGAAATCTATATTTATCTTTGAAATATGGATTTTGATAATTTAGTTGTTCTGATATTTTATTTGCCTCTTTTACTCAGCCCTGTTGTTCCCACAGACTTTACATAGTTATTCTGCAAAGTTAATGTGTAAAATTCCTTTTTTTCCACATCTGTGCTTTAGCTTATACCTTCTATGCAGTCTACTGCAGCATGGGGTCAAATTCTTTCCTTGCCTTCAAGCTTTCTCATGTTAATTTTACAATTATCTCCATAAAGCAAAGATTTGATCACATCTCTCCTCTGCTTAAAACTCTTTGGCTTCCTGTCATCTTTAGCAGTGCTTATCCACAGCCAGCTGCTGAAAATAGCTCAGAGACAGGCGCAGAGGTGATCTTGACAATTTGAAATGAATTGTGTGTCTAATATGTATTGAAAATGTATTCTAATTTTCTGAAATTTTATTTCTTTTTTGTTGTGTTTAAATTCAACATAGTAACTTAGCAGTTTCTGCAGTTCAGTGACATGGTCGAAAATTCCTGAATTTTGACAAACATGCTCACTCTCCTATCCCCAGTTCTTCCTCCTTCATTAACAAAAGCTCACCACTAGTTTCATATCTAATCTTTCGAATTGCATTTTTGAATTTGATCCCTTGCAGGTAGACCTTAAAAGAACATAATGCTCAAGACACATTTTTTTTTGCTCTTTAAGCTAAACCATTGTTTGGTTTCAAGAAGACTTCAGGGAATATTTTTGGTTTAAGGTTTAAAGATTATCTTGGGGCAATAGATTCAACAGTTATGTCTCCAGAAAGACTGTAGTTTATGAGACTTCGAAATTTACTTTGCACCTCGTTGATCAGAATTCTTCTATAGAATATTTGATCAAAATGTCCAGTAACAGTACCCAGATGTCATCTAGTTCTGGTCTTATGGCAGAAGAGGCGGGTGTACATGAAAACAGTTAGCCACACATTCCATTTCCTCCTCCTGTTCTTGACTCTGTTGCTCCAGGTAAAGAAAAGAGCCCAGTTGTTGTCCCTTGGGGGCATTTCACTGTTAAAATACGTATGGTAATGTATTTCCTTGACAAACTGGACTTTGGTGTTTGATTAAAGGAGTGATCATTTCAGGATTATTTTATATGATGACTGATGTAATAAGAAATGGTGAAGTCTCGGCTTGGTATGATCCTATCTTGTCTTGCCAGTCACATCGTCATCTCTCTGGGGCAGTCATATTGTTTTACTTGTTTCCTTCCAATTCTGGAGTTCCCTTCTCTTAGATGGCTTCAGCCCTTCTGTTTTTGCTGTCTGAGATCTCAACCTCCTTCACAAACTGCTGTCAATGTCTTGAGTCCTATGAATCCTCAGCCCAGTCCACTTGATTGAAATGAATCATTTTCTTTTTGTTCTCACAGTATTTTATAAGTTTTATTATAGCACTACTGCAATTCTGCGTATAGCAAAGGAATCTCTGACATGTAAGTGTGCCATGAAGGCAAGGGCGACACTTATAATTTTTGTTTTCTATCACTTTTATATATATAATAAGCTCTCAGGAAATATTTATTAAAGGTAGTGTGGGTTTTCAAATTTAGATTTATACATCTGAAAGGTTATATATACTCTAAATAGATTGATGAATATAATTTATTCATTTATTAATTCTTCATAATTTTATTATACTTTTTATATATGCTCACTATGTATCCATTCTATGTGTGAATATTTTTGCTTTATAATGTGTTTATCTTTTATCTCATCACAAACGATGCTTTTAGAGATATACACTGAATGGATTTTTTGTTTTTGATTAATGGCTTTTATATCATACTCAGGGTGAGATTAACTGAGTGGGTGGCTGAATGAGGGTGGTCTGAATTTTGAAGTTCATTTCCAGATAGGGACAACAGGAAGTATTAATATTACATGGATTAATAAAAAACTTGGGGAAAAGGTAGGGTTATTAGAATTATTTAGACGAGAATAGAAATTTTCTTGTAATCAACATTCAATCTTTCAGAGTTCCTTTTAGCAGTTTATGTAATTGCTTACCCTTTTTGAACCTGAAATTTGCATTAATGTGGGACCATCGTTTCTATAGCCTTACCAAATGAGATTTATGTGGAGTTACTAATTTTGTTAATAAATTTCCTCACATAAAATCATGGTTGTTTTCTTTGCAAAGCCCATGCCCCTTGAGTCATCACAGGAGTTCTGAATCTTCCTTTTTTATCTTCATTGGAGGGGGAGTCTCCCAGCTGTTCTTGAACCTTGGCTTTTACACCTCTCAAATTTACCTACAGATGCCTGTGATAATGTTTCCTGAACTTTTAAGTTTGTGTTAATAAGTTTACTTTCCAGTTTTGCTGATGTATGGTTGTCCTAGATTTGGACATGAGTTGATATCTCACTATTAAGGGCTATTCTTTACAGTTCTGCATAGAAAATCACTAATGATTACTTTTTGGTTGTTTTTAACATTTTTCTCCTGTCTTACAGCGGACTTTTCAGATCCTGAATTTCCAGCCATATATTGTTATGAGATAAAGGAAAATACAGCTTTAGAATGCAGCCTATCATTTTCTCCTAAAGAAGTAAGTCCAGCTTTCTGTGAGTCATCATATTTATGAGGAGTTGAGTGGTGGGTAATTTCATCCCACCACTATCAAATCTATCAAAGAAGCTATCAAATCTCACCTAAATTCTGTTCCTAGTGTATCTTCTCTTGACATATGAGCCTGACTGAGTATACACTACTTAATTCATGAAAATCATGGTTAGAAGTGTCTGACCTGTGTTTGTAAAGTGCGTGAAGAAGTGAAGAGGGCACACAAAGTGAGCCTATGGCCTCTAGTCTCTGTTATGCTCTCTAGAAAAGTCAAGTAATGATTTGTTGTGAAGGAGAGGGAAGTTTAAGCTAACCAAAAATCATTTATCTTTGAGTCAGTATGTGTTTATCACTTTTATTTAAAGGGGATGTGCCTGATTCTTTTGTAATTACCACCTGAAATTACCAAGGACATGCTGTGAAGATATATACTGTCCCCTTGGTGTTTAGTGATTTAAAAACAACAATAATAAAAACAAGCAACAACAAATCAATACAATGAAAGGGGAAAATCTCTTGGTTTGGGTTTGCTTCAGTTTAAGCATGTGGATTCTGTATTTGGACACTTACATTTTCAAACTGATTCTTGTAAAAAAAAAAGAGATAAAATGATTTTATTTTAAACTTTGGTTAAACCCTATTATCCACATTTTATTTTGAATTTTGCAAGAATTGTCTAATAAGTTTATAAACACGCTGCATCTCTTCGCCATTTTTCTTATAGTACATAGAATTTCCAGAGCAATGCCAAATTGTTTCATTATTCTTATCTTATTTGTAATTTCCTGTGAAATAATTTGATGTTTAAAACATATTAGGAATTACCTTTCTATTTCTAATTTACCACAACTTTTTATCAGGTATAAGTGCGAACTTTTATCTATTCACATGCCTTTAGTGCCATCAATTATATTATTTTTCAAACGAGGAAAAAGTGTGACTACCTAGTTCACTGTTGTATTAGTAAGGGTAGGATTTTGCAGATCTCAGATCCCCATACCTTTGCTTAAAATTTCGAGTTATTCTACATTTTTGAGCTATTTTAAAGATTATAAAAGGAAACAGAAGAACAAACATATCCAATGTGTCCATTGGGTGTATAAGGCTGTGATCTTTACAGAAGAAGACTACCACATCTTTCTCTTGAAGAATAGCTGGTGGTTTTGAACCACCAATCTTTTGACTGGCAATCTAGTGCTTAACTATTGTGCCACTATTCCAGCCAAGAGAAGGGAATGTAAAAGCCTTCAGAGACAACACTTGATGAGTTTGTTTTGTAAATATAAATACCAACAATATAAACTGAGTATCTGGTTTACAGCTATTTCAAATGTCCTCCACTGTACAAATAGAGCTGTAAGTATTTGTAAGCGGGAGATTTTTGGATTGACCAACGTAGAAGAAATCTGTGAAATTGGCAGTAAAGATCTAATTTATTTGTAGCGGTTCTTCATATTTTCTCAAACTGCACCAAGTTTTGGCGCCATCAGAAGTGCTAGTGGGCAGTTGCAGGTGTCATTGGCCGCTTTGGCTGAACTGAGTTGCTTACGCAAATTCATTTAAGTGACCCTTTTCTTTGTGTACCAATCACATGTTTTCTAGAGCTGTGCTTTCTTATAGTAACCACCGGTCATATGTAGACATCTAAATTAATTGTACAATTAATGAAAATGAAATCAAATTTCAAAGAGATTTCCTCATTCTGAATATTCAGTAGCCATTCTCCAAGTCCCAATATCTACTTATGGCTGAAGGTTATCATCCTGTGCAGTGCATAACTCTTCTGTCATCGCAGTAAGGTCTATTGAGCAATACTTGAATGGCTCATTCTCTATTATTCACCTTGCTTTTCCTGCTACTATGGGCCAAATTCTGTCCCATTAAAAGGGGGTGGCTATTCTTCTGGGGCTCAGTTTCTCTGCAAGGCTCTGCATGTCATCTCTGCTGGTGAAGCTCTTGAATGTTGAAGATAATTTTTCTTTGGGTTGAATTTTTATCAACCCTTTGAAGAAACGTAATTTTTGTGCAAACCTTTCAGAAAGTTTATTCTGACTTTACAGTCAATCTTAGAGTAAACTATGAAAAATCTCCCAAGGATTAGAAGAGAGGATATTTGAGCTGTCTTCATAAGCATTTTCTTCTTACTAATCTTGACCTAAGTGCTGAAATCCTTTCTTTAAAATGTCCTTTTTAAGGTTTTCCTTTCTAATGACGACATTTGGGAAAGCATTTAAAATGACACATAGTGAAATGGTGCAAATTGTTCACTTGTATTGGCTACTTCAGTGGCTTCACAGTATTGAGAACCATGATATGTTACTATGTTCTGTGTAAGATGAAGTGCTAATGTTTACGCATGTGACATTAAAAACAAAACCTTTTCAAACTGTCAGCAAGGACTTTATGAGTACAGAACAGCACTCAGTATATGTCTTGCTGAAAGCATCAATACTTGTTTCATGGCCTTGAATGTTCAGGTATACTGGCAGTACTATTATTATTCCCTTTCCCAGGCTTGAATTAGATACCATTTTTTGTTATGTTCCTCTCCACACCTCTAGGCTCGTACCAAACCACAGTTACTGGGTTGACACTTTTAACTCATTTGAAATATAAATAATTATAGGTTTTTTGCTTATTTTTCAAGGCATTTAAAGAAATAGCTGGCTCATTAGAAAACATAGCTTTTTCAGGTAATGTACTAGGCAATCCACTATTCTAGAATGTTTACAACTTCTGCCATATCATTATTGATTTTTGAACCTTATGTATAGCAAACCAAATTCACCACCATCAAGTCAATTCTGATTCCTGACAACCTGATAAGACAGGGTAGAATTGCTTTTGTGGGTTTTAGACACTAACTCTTCTTTATAAGAATAGAGAGCCCCATCATTCTCTGATGTACGATAAATAACCACATAATGTAATATATATTTAGAGGATACATGTTGAAAATGAAACATGGTTTACACAGATTCAATGACAAGTAATAAGGAAAAAACTGAATTCCAAAATTTTGTATGCCTTCATCTACCATATACTATTACTTTTATATTAAAATGTAATTTTTTGTTAATATTGTTTCTAGAAACACTTAAACCTGTTGTTTTAAAAAATAAAATGTCAACTTCTACCAGGTTAATTTAATTTCTGGTATGAAGAAGCAAGAATAAGCAAAGCAAAGAAAACATACCTAAAATACAGTAAGGAGTTTCTAATATTTAGATGCCTTCATGTTGATTTCAACTTATAGCCATCCCCATGTGACAGAGTAGGTTTGGTGCCCCATTTTGTTTTCTAGGTTGTCATCTTTACAGAACACAGTACAAGACCTTTCATCTATGAGCCACTGGATGGCTTTGAACTGCCAACCATTCAGTTAGCAACCAAGCCCAGTGCTTAACTATTGAGCCAGCAGTTACTACATTTCTTATACATACATACATACTTTTTTCACGTTGCTATTATTTCCATTCCTACTTTTGCTTTTATGAATACATTTTTTATAATCTTAAATTACTTATAACCCAAAACCAAACTTATTGCCATCAAATCAATGTCGACTCATAGCCCCTTTGGGTTTCTGAGACTAACTAATTAACCTTGACTTTCTCCCATGGAGCAGCTGCTGGTTCCCTACTGCTGAAATTATGGTTAGCATGAGTAGGCACTGGGCTCTTAATTTGCAATGCTGTAATTTGACACTAGACTCATCAAAATTCTGTCACCCTATCTTTTCCAATGTTAATTGATGAGCCCTAAGTGTGGGAGAACATTAACTGAATTCAGAACATTGCCATTTCCCAATGAGCTCTTTGTCTAAGACAAATCCTTCTGATAGGTAGGAGAACATTGCAGCGCCTAGTGGGTCCATTTTGACTCATAGCGACCCTATGAACAACAGAGTGAAACACAGCTTGGCCCAGTGCCAGCCTCACGATTGTTATGTTTGAGCCCACTGTTGCAGCTACTGTGTCAATACTTTGAGGGTCTTCCTCTTTTTCGATGTCCTGCATTTATGTGTGATATTAGGTAAGAGACTATTAAGTAGGAATGATAGTTAAGAGGTTAATTTAAGCAATAGAATAATTTTCATAGATCTACTTTTCCTGTAAGGTTCTCCGGTTGCACAACAGCTGTGCACTGAATGACTAGCTATGTGATCAGTGGTTGCAATCCACTCGATCAGTGGTTGCAATCCACTCAAAGGCACCTTGGGAGACAGGCCTAATTATCTGCTTCTGAAATGCCACAGGATGGAAAAGCCTATGGAGCAGTTCTACTCTGCAAACATGTGCTCTCCAGGATTCGGAATCGGCTCAGTGGCAATGCACCACAGCAGCAACATCGTACCCCTCATATAATTCAATATCTCATTTTGCAAGGATGAACTAACTGCTCTCAGGCTTCCTTGTTTGTATTTCTAACACCTTGAGAGGGCCCAAGTGGCAGTCAGCAGCTAACTGGATGTAGGTGGTTTAAACCCACTACCAGTTGATTCTGACTCACAGGGAGAGAAAGATGTGAATCATTATAAACTACCTTGGGAGAAAGATATGAATCATTATAAACTGCCATGTCTTTCTCTTGGGCTCAATGACACCAACCTTTCGGTTAATAAGCAAGCACGAAACCACTGCACCACCAGGGTTTCTTCCATAAAGATTACACTCTTGGAAACCCTATGATATATAGGATCACTTGAAACCCCTGTGGCCTAATGGGTCACTTTTAATTAGAATTGTCTCCGTAGCAATATGTTTTTCCAGCACCATGAGATCATCAAATGCTAGGTATCTGGAGATGCTGCATGGTAATTTTCTCCTATTATTTTTGTGTGGGACTTGAACTTTTTTTCTTCTTTTTGCTGCAAGCTTTTTGTGATTTCATCAAGGCAGGATCACTGATTCTTTTAAAAAGTGGAAGGTTAGCACTATATAATTGCCAGAATCTTCTTCAAATCTAAGTGTTTTTTCTTCTCAAACTCTTGGGATAAGGCAGCTGTATAATCAGTTCATTTTGAAACTGGATAAATACACATCAGAACTAATAAATTAACTTTAAGTTTTAAATTTACATAGACGAAATCGTTCTCTTTCTGGTGTATGAGTAAGTATTGTAACCAACACCAAAATTAATGTAGAGAGCAATTCCATCACCCCTTTCCTCAAACACTTATGCCAAATTGTAGTCATTCTTTTCCTGACGTCTGTTTCCTGGTAAACACAGCTAATTTTTATCCCTATAATTTTGCCTTTTTGAAAATGTCATGTATTTGAATTATGTAGTCTTCCCACAATTTCTTCCCCCATATTCACTTGGGATTCATTCATATTATTGTGTACAGCTGAAGTTTTCCTTTTTTAATGTTGAGTTAGTATTCTATTGCATAGGAGTCCTGATGATGCTATTGGGTAAGCTAACTACAAAGTCAGCGGTTCATATTCATTAGTGGCTCTGCTGAGAAAGATGAGGCTGCCTACTTCCGTAAAGATTATTTACAAAGCCTCCAGAACTACATAGGGTCACTGTGAGTCAGAATCAACTGGTAGTGGGTTTTGAGTTGCGTATTCTATTGCATGGATTTACCAAAAGTGTTATTAATTAATCAGTTGAGGGACATTTGGATTGTTTCCACTTTAGGAATAACTATGACATAGCCTGTGTTAGTCTGGGTTGATTAAAGAAACAAATTCATAGACATTCATATGTTTTTAAGAAAGAGCTTTTTATACCAAAGCAATTGAATATTGATAAACATCCCAGTCCAGTCCAGATCAAGTCCATACGTCCAATATTAGCCCATATCCAATACTAGTACATAAATTCCTCTTTAGACTCACGCAGCCATGCAATAATGCTGAATTCAGGATGATCACAGTCCAGTGAGTGGAAAGCCTTGTGGATCCAGTGGTGGTAGAAGCATCTCAGTGCTGGCAGGGGTCTCCACGTGGCTCCTCCAGCTTCGAGGGCTCTGGCTGCATCAGTGTAGCTCCATCAGGTTCATAGTAATGTCTCACACAGAGTGAGCATGTGTCCCACCTCCACTACACTGTGTATCTCTTCAGTGCCTCCAAATAAGGTGGTCAAGCTGCAACCTGATTGACAAGCAAAACTCCACCCCTTCACTCTTAAGGCTCAAATTGACATCAGATTATGTAATTACCACATAGCTTATTACTTGCATACAGTTTTTTTTTTGTATGAATGGGTTTTAATTTCTATTAGATAAATACTTGGACCCTATGTTAGGTATGTTTTTAACTTTCTAAACAATTATAATACAGTTCCAAAGTGGCTGTGCAATTTTGCCTTCCCACATCTTCACCATTACCTAGTATTGTAGATTTTTTTAAAAGCCATTGTGATAGGTTTGAAGTGGTCTCACCTATGGTTTCAGTGTGCATTTTCCTAATGTCTAATAATGTAAATCTTTGCATGTGTTATTTGTTATTTGTATTTCTTGTTAATTTTTTTTCTTTATATAATTTGCTTATTTTATTATTAGATAGCTGGCTATTTTCAATCATGCTTTAGCATTCATACTATATTTTGGATAAAATTCTGTTTTGTTTGTCAAAATTATGAAATTATGTCTGTAGCTTGTCATTTTAGTCTCCTAACTATATCTTTCACTGACCATATAGTTAAAATTTTAATAAGATCCAATTTAATCAATTTTTCATTTATGTTGATTTTGTGAGTGTCCTTCCATTTAGTTCTTACTCAGAGTGACCCCATGAACAACAGAAGGAAACACTGCTTTGTGCATTTCATTTAAGAAATCTTTGTGTCTGGCTTAGGATCAAATGATTTTCTACAAATTTCTTCTACAAATTTTATAGTTTCTTGTTTTATGTTTGGGTCTCTAGTCTAAGTTGATAAGAATTATTTTACACAGTTTATTTGATTGATTAATTACCTTAATTAATTTAAGAATTTCATTTTGGACTCATAAAAATAAAATAAATCTTGTTTTGAGGGAAAAAAGTAGTCTGTTACAAGACAATGATCTTATTAAAAACTTTTCTCTTAGCTCTTGATTTGCTGAATTGTTGATAGTTTATTTCTCACAGCAAAAAAAAGTCACCGGTATGATATATTTTACTTTTATTCCTCAGGTGTTAACATATAACTTTATCTTTCAAGTTAAAGTTAATTACATGGATGCGTCAGAAAATTACCTTAAATTTGGCTTGCCAAATTCTAAAGTTCCAAGGACAGAACCACTTATCCCTCCATGTTATGTTCAGGCAACGGGTATGTATATGAAGTATTCATATTGATGGGAATCGGCCTAAGTTTTACACCTGTGTAGCTAAAAATATATATACTTTTTGAGTCTTTGAGATTGAATTTTGATCAGTTACAGATATGGTAACAGGTGTGTGACTCTTTCTAAGAAAGTAATCATAGAATTTAAAACAGAGGGCAGTTTAGTACTTATTTTGTGGCCAGCTATTAAATGCAGTAATTAAAGCGATGGATGAGAATCTGTTTCTCTACAACATCACTAACACATTAATTTCCTTATTTAAATAATTGCTATTCTAATGGAAGGGGTAAGATGGTAACTCTTTGTGGGTTTGGTAGCACTATGGGTTAGGCAGGAACCCTGGTCATGTAATGGGTTACCCATTGGACTGCTAACCACAGGTCAGTTTTTTGAACTCACCAACCACTCCTTGGAAGTAAGATGAGGCTATCTTCACTCATAAAGATGTATAGCCTTGGAAGCCCTAAGAATCAGTTCTACTCTGTATTTTAGGGTCACTATGAGTCAGAATTGACTCTATGGCAGTAATTTTTATTTCGGCTTTAATGGATTAGGCATTGATTGGAGCTGTTAATCACAAGACCTTGGTTCAAACTCTTTAGTCATTCCACACGAGAAAGAGGAGGTAGTATGCTTCCATAAAGATTTGCAGTCTCCGAAACCCTAGAATCTAGGCAGGGCCCACATAGTGTTGCTGTGAGATGGAATCAACTCGGTAGCATTGGCTGGGAATGGCTAATGTAACTGTTGGGCTGCTAACTGCGAGATTGATAGTTCAAACCCATCAGCTGCTTCCTAGGAGATTGATGAGAGTGACTCATGAAGACTTATAGACTCAGAAACTCCTAAGAATTAGTTCTACTCTGCCCCAGAAGATCACTATGTGATATATAACATTATTTCAAATATTTCAATGTCTTCCCTATCTAGAAGTCAGGGAAATATGACTTTTCTATTTTTCAATGGTTTATATTTTATTAAATTTATAGTTAATTCGTTTGGATAACATTAGACTCTAATTTTTTTAGCAGTTTTACATTTTCAAAACATTGAGGAGAAAATGCAAAACATTCCTATATATTTTCTCTTCCCTAGCTCACAGTTCATCTTTACTATTTATATCTCGCATTCAGTGTATTTCATAAAATTAATGAAGCAAAATTTATACAGTATCAGTAACTTAAATATTGAATTTACATTGGATTTCACTCTTTGTATTGTATAGTTATGTGATTTTTGAGAAGTGCATAATGGCATGTGTTTGCTATTACAATAGCAGGTCGAATTGTTTCACTGCCCTAAAAAGTCCCCTTTTCTACATCTAATTGTCCATCTTCCAGCCCAATCTTCCTTCCTGAACTCTGGGTGGCCACTGGCCTTGTTTACTATCTGATGTTGCCTTATCTATTTTATATATATATATATATCATTTTATTGTGGGCTCTTACAACTCGTATAACAATCCATATATCATTTTTATCAAGCATATTTGTACATATGTTGCCATCATTCTTTTCTAGACATTTACTTTCTATTGAGCCCCCCCTCGTGACCCCTTGATAAATTATAAATTATTATTTTCATGTCTTACACCGACCGCTGCCTCCCTTCCCCCATGGCTTCTTTTGTTCTTCTCCCCCTGGAGGGGTGTGTGTGTGGTTATGTATCTATAATATTATGTAGTTCGAATTAAATAGCTTTTCAGATAAGCTTCTTTCACTTAATAGGAATTTATGTTTTTTGTGGCATGATAGCTTATTTCCTTTTTATCATTAAATAGTATGTGATGTTGCATAATTTATTTATTCACTTATTTAAAACATTTTGATTGCTTCCAATTTTTGGCAATTATGAAGAAAGCTGCTATAAGCTTCTGAATGTAGGGTATTGTATTTTCACTGGTTCTTTCTCTGTGGACAGTTTGTAAATTGGCAGGCCATCTTTTAAGTGCAACTTTCTGTGTATGTGCCAGAGACCTTTTTCTTTTTTCTCTTATGAAGATGGCACAGAACCTGGCAGTTTTTCATTTCTACGGGCCAGAACTGACTTAAGGACATGTAACTAACAACAACATATACATACAAGAAAATTACCTGAATTTTATACATATATACCTTTTCTAGTATACGTTTTACCCTTTACCATATACCTTTCCCAGTATTTCTTTGGAATGAACCCTGGTTGCATAGTGGTTACGTGTTGGACTGTGATCCACAAGGTTGGAAGTTTGAAACCACCACCAGCAGGGAAAAGGGCTTTCTACTTCTGTTAATAGTTGATCGTTATAGTCTCAGAAACTCACAGGGGGAGTTCTACCCTACCCTGTAGGGTTACTATGAGTTGGCATCTACTCTGTGGCACACTGACTTTGAGATTGGGTTTTGAGTATTTTTCTCTCACGAAAAAATCATGAATGCCTTCTGTTGTAAACAGGCCAGTTCAACTACACCATCATATTATTAATTAAAGCCTTTATTAAACAGCAGACCCAGAGTAGGCTAGCGCCTGGAAACAGAACAGAGAAATTCCAAACTTTTTATAGGTCAAAATAGGGGCCTTGCTCAAGGGGATGGATATTCTGATCAGGTTGGCAGGGTAACAGAGGTGGGGGACAGCACAGCTGCAGGTGCTAATTCAGGGTCTTGCAAGATAGTGTATATTTCTTGCTAATTAGGCAGGCAGGGTTTGGAAACATCTCCAGAAGAGTCAACGTCTTGTTGGGAGAGTCAGAAGAGGGAAGAGGAAAAGGTGGTGGGGCTAACTGTTAAAGGTAGTTTGAAACAAGATGAAGGTCCTCATGTTAAGCTAGGTTACTACACCATCTATATCTTACTGTTTTGCTACATTCCTCCATCCCCAGCCAAATTAGCCATAATTCCAGAAGCATGATAAAAACACTTAAAAGATGTGATTTTTTTAAGCTTAGAAATATTTCTCCATATACTTGTCATAACCCTACAATCTTGTGAGACCTTTAAGTTTCTTTTTTGTTTGTTTGCTTGTTTTTGCAGTTCTCAAAGGGCTCTTTCATTTATGTCAGGTGCAAGCAATAAATTGTTAATAGCACTGATGGGAGGCCATTTGATGGCCGAAAACATATTAGGGATTTTTTTAATCATTCTTTTTTTAAAATTGTTTTATTAGGGGCTCATACAACTCTTATCACAATCCATACATACATCAATTGTGTAAAGCACGTTTGTACATTCATTTCCCTCATCATTCTCAAAACATTTGCTCTCCACTGAAGCCCCTGGCATCAGGTCCTCATTTTTCCCCTCCCTCCCAGCTCCCCCCTCCCTCATGAACCCTTGATAATTTATAAATTATTATTTTGTCATATCTTGCCCTATCCG